TTGGGACAGGCTTCTGTCACAGCCAACCGAAGGTGTGCATACCCCCAAATCTTGGTGCTGATTGGTCAATGTTTCCGTAGGGTTTGGGCTCATAACCTGAGACGTGGTACGTTTCGGGGAGCCGGCAGGCTTTGTCGACTCGTCCGGTTCGTCGTTCTGCATTAAGAAGAGGAAGAGCGCCTGCGGACACCGGAGTAGCAAGGCAGAAGCCTTACAGGGACTTGAGGGGCTTGGCAGCGCAGTGCTGGATTCGGAAGTGAGACTCTAGGAGCCCCGAGTGCGCGCAGCGCACTCCACCTTCGCTGTACCCTCGCAATCCGTATGTTTATATTACTGTTTGAGCCCTCTTTAGCTGATCTTGTGCTGGTCGTTGAGTGTGCGCAGCAGCACTCAGGAGGCTTGTCCGCAGAGCAAACTCTGCAACGGGCAGCGCCTGTGCAACGGCAGCAATGGCAGGCTCAAGGACTTCCATTATGGATAGGAAGAAGAGAAACTCGACGTGCAAGGAGTGTGAACAGAAGGGACATTGGAAGGGCGACAGAGAATGCAAAGGAGCGAACCAGCAAGCTGCTGGAAACCAGGAAAGAAACCAACGAGTACAAGCTTTCTCTGGTGTATTTACGAACAGTGTGGATGGTGTTGCGCACCAACAACCTCAAGCCGCTGCTGCTGGCTTTACCTTCGATGAAGTTCGTCATGTTCTTGGTGAACAAGCGGCAAGACAGCTACGTGATGAGTTGGAAACGAAGCCTCCTGCGCCTGCGGTGGATGCAGAACAGTTTTCGCCTACCTCTACACCTCCACAATCTCCTGCTGAAGCTCGAGGGGGATTGGTTAGCATAGTTATGGGCAGTCATGAAGACAACTGTTTTCCGGATTTGGCACCGGATGAAATGGAATGGCTACTTGACAGCGGATCACAAGCGAATCTTTGTGGAGATCTGTCGTGCTTTTCTTGATTGAACGTGGAGTCGCTGGAGAACTAAAGATGGCCCTTGACCAAACAGAGACTTTGAATGCGAGCGGAAGTGTCGTGATGGGCGTGAAGAACCATCTCTCAGGCCAGTAGGAGCCTCGGCGCCTTGATGACGTGCAGTACTCACCGAATGCTCACGTGAACCTTATAAGTCTTGGCTACATGCAAGCCTGCGGCTTTGTCGTGCATATCAGTGAGGATCAGCGCACTACATGGCTAACCAAGAACGAGATCAAGCTGCGATTTGATCAACATGATAAGCTCTACCGTCTACGAACGAAGCGTTAACACAGACTTGTTGCTGCGGTAGAAGCTCGTACCAACATGATGGGGTTATTGCACAACCGCTTAGGCCATGTGAACATGAAGACAATTCGAGAGTTGGCAGCCAGCAAAGCCGACTTCAGCGTTAAGATCAATGAGAACTCGCTTTCTTCCTACGACTGTGTACCCTGCATTACTGCTAAGCTTAAGCGCATGTCCTACAAACGTAATCCGGAACGTCGTAAACACCTGCCGGAGAAGATCTTTGTTCCGTCGGCGACGAGACGATCACAGGTGAAACGATGTTCTTGTTGGTAGTGGACGAAGCTACGCGGTACAAGTGGTGCTATCTACTTGCAAACAAGAACGATGCAGAGGACAAGATCAAGACTTTGATTCTAAGACTTAACAATAAGTTCAAGAGACAGTTGCGCACGGTGGTCACGCTGCATTCAGACCAAGGAGGCGAGTTCCTGAGCAGCAGATTGAAAGACTTCTGCGAAGAACTTGGCATCCAGAGTGAGAACACCAACTCTTATTTTCCTGAGGAGAATGCCATCGTTGAGCGAGCGAACGGGCTCGTACTGCCGCGACTACATGATGTGCTACATGCTGCAAGTCAGACCGATTTGTTGTGGGGAGAAGCTCTCCTCCATGTCGTGGACACGGTGAGCCTGCTACCTACAGCTGATCTGGATGGTAAGTCACCTTTTGAAGCTCTATACGACAATAAACCTACGCTACGGTACCTGCGAACCTGGGGTTGCTTGGTGCACTCGCACATTCCGAAGGAAAGGACGTATACCCGAGACAAACTCGACCCGCGTGCTGAGTTGGCTCTTTTCCTCGGCTACTCTACAATCACGAAAGGCTACAAGCTGCTGAATTTGAAGACCGGTTGCGTCATTCAAAAGCGAAGTGGAAACGTGTTGTGTCATGAGAGATTTACTGCTGCTCAAGCCTACGTGAAGCAACTACTGTTGAACACCTACAAGGATGGTTACGCCGACTTACCTGATGGGATTCTGGTAGTGCCGATCGTGAACTCGCTTGAAGACCGTCTCTTTCCCGAAACCGGAGATCCGCTGCGATCGTCCGTATTGCCGAGCGCTGGAAGACTTGATAAACAGACCGAGTTAGCAACTAGTCTAGAGCAAGTGGGAGAGCAAGACGTACCCGCTCAGCTGTCGATGACGCCGTCCGACGATACTAAAGCAAGCTGCCTGAAGAGATCTGCTGCGCAGACAAAGACCAGAACGGCAAGCCGATTAGTGAAACGGAAAGCAGATGACAACGAAGCATACACACCTTCGAAGAAGCTGCCTGCAGCTGCTACTGCAGAGTCAAGAGCAAATACTATTCGCCGCGCGAAGAAACTGCCTGCTCACCTGAAGGAGTACATCGTTGGGTCAGTCATCAACTTGAAGCAGGACATTCCAATTCCTACCACTTACAAACAAGCCAAAAAGAGCGACTACTGGCCGGAGTGGGAAGCAGCCATGAAGGACGAGCTGACGTCGCTGCGTCAGCATGGGACCTGGAAGCTTGTGTCGAGAACCAAAGCCAAGTCGCAAACTGTGATCACAAACAAATGGGTGTACACGGGTAAACGAGACGCCCAAGGACGAATCAAGAGATTCAAGGCGCGTCTTGTCATTCACGGCTTTAAACGAAGCTTTGGCGTTGACTATCTGGAAGCCTATGTCCCAGTGATCCGATTCGAGACCATCAGAGCTGCTATTGTCTACGCTAGAAAACGTGGCTGGGATGTCTACCAATACGACGTGAAAACTGCTTTCGTTACGGTCGATTGGAGGAACGAATCTACATGGAGATACCTGCTGGATCTACTGAAGGATTACCTGGAGGTGAAATGATTTGCCAACTGATCAACTCGCTGTATGGATTAAAGCAAGCTCCTACAGTGTGGAACAAGACGTTGCACGACTTTCTGGTGGACCTCGGGCTCACACGACTTGACAGTGACTACGGACTCTACGTGAGGTACAACAACGATGAGGTCGACATGCTGTTGGCTGTCTACGTTGACGACCTACTGCTAATGGGACCAGCGGCGCTGTGTAGCAAGGTTGCTGCGCAACTAGAAGCCAAGTTCACATTGACTAGCATGGGCGAGGCAAGGTACCTGCTTGGGATCGAGATTACTTTGGACGCTATCAACAACAAGGTGATCTACAGCCAGCGATCTCATATTTACAAGCTGTTAAAGAAGTTTGGACTGGCTAATTCCTACGGCTGCAGGACACCTCAATCGACGACTGAATCCAGAGCTCAAACCAAGGACCAAGATAAGCCTGTCGACATGCCTTACCGTGAATTGGTTGGAGGATTGCAGTATCTTGTCTCTGGATCGCGACCGGATATCGCTCACGCAGTCCGTCATCTTGGGAAGTATCTGTCCTGCTACACAGAGAGCCATTTCCGAGAAGCCCAGCGGGTGCTGCGTTACCTGCTGCAGACACGAGACTACGCATTGCACATGGATGTAGTGCTCGGCACGGACGTCTGTATTACTGCGTTTACGGACTCCGACTACGCGAATGATCTGATGATTCCAAGTCAGTCTCTGGCTACGTGACTCTACTTGATGGTAATGTCATTTCCTACGCTTCAAGAAAACAGGGTATCAACGCCCAGTCGAGCACGGAGGCGGAAGACGTTGCGATGAACGAAGGAGGCAAGGACATTCTGTGGATTGTGAATTTGTGTGAGGAGCTGAAGTGGCCTGCGGCCACACCACTGCTGCGCGGTGACAACCAGGCGGCGCTGTACCTGACCGAGAAACCTGGAAAACATTCTAACACAAAACACATTCGCAACAAGTACCACCTTTTTCGTCACATGGTCGAAGACGGCAAATTAAAAACACTGCAAGTGCCCACCAGCGATAACACGGCTGACATCATGACCAAGCCACTTGCACGTGCCAAATTCAGCCAGTTTCGCGACCAGCTGAAAGTGATGCCTATCAGCCTGCCCTTATCTGCTGCTGCTACTTATGCAGTACTAGCTACAAACGCCGAGGAATGCCAAGACGGTGTGGACCAGTACTGGTAACGTTGTATTACTGAAGCCTCAAACTATGCTACAACTGCTGATTGCTCAAGCTACGGAGACCTGCTGCGATCAGGTGCCTCCGGTTCCTGTGAAGATCCTGCGTCGATCTTACAAGTGCTGTCCACCCTCAATACTTGCGATGCCTCGACTCGCGTCGGGTGGGAGTGGGAGTGTGAGATACCACGCTGGGTATGCTGCACTACCGCAGATGAGACCAGCGCTGGAGCGCCGCTGGCGCCGCCGAAGCCCAGCCTGGAAGCACTGGAGAAGCTACTTGAAGCTGGTGCGCCCACCGCTCAAAATGCCGGAACGGGACGCTGCACTGTCCCAGCTTGCTGCGATTACGCAGGCGCGGCCTGCTACTGAAGCCGTCCTGCGGACGGAACCCCTGCGATTGCTGCCGTTGCACAGGCGCTGCCCGTTGCAGAGTTTGTCCTGCGGACAAGCCTCCTGAGTGCTGCTGCGCACACTCAACGACCAGCACAAGATCAGCTAAAGAGGGCTCAAACAGTAATATAAACATACGGATTGCGAGGGTACAGCGAAGGTGGAGTGCGCTGCGCGCACTCCGGGCTCCTAGAGTCTCACTTCCGAATCCAGCACTGCGCTGCCAAGCCCCTCAAGTCCCTGTAAGGCTACTGCCTTGCTACTCCGGTGTCCGCAGGCGTTCTTCCTCTTCTCAATGCAGAACGACGTTCCGGACGAGTCGACAGAGCCTGCCGGCTCCCCGAACCGTACCACGTCTCAGCGTCTTCGTCGTGACACCATGGGCTTCGTCGTCTTCGCAACACTGTTGGACCAAGAGCGCTTGGGGTTGACGTTGGACGCCATCTCCTCAAACTCGGCCAGTATTTAACCATCTGCTCCTTCATAGGGAGCTACGTTCTCGCAGCTGTTGCCCCACCGTGTCCTAGATGAGCGATGTAAACTGATCAGGCGCGACGGCGCGGTCTCTTTCACCTATATAGACACAAAGCACCACTCAGCGCAATTCAAGCAGACGGCAAAAGCTCGGCTGCCCAGAGTGTTGGTCATATTGGTGTGGGGCACATATCGGTCCGAGTGCTTCATCACTCACTTTCACTTTGGAGTGTATAGAACTGGAAGGGCAAGATGCGTGCGAACGAGGATAAGATCGCGCAGCTGCTGGACAAGGTATGCCATGCTGCTGAGTCGGTAGTGCTGACGTCCTGTATGTAGCAGATACTCATGCTGACTCTCTGTGTGTGCGTCAACAGACCACGGACTTTGACAAGGATGAACGCTACATGGCTACATCGGATCTGTGCGTCGAGCTAAACAAGGACGTCGACCTGGGACCGTATATTGAGCCAAGGTGCGTGTAGCTAATTAAATAGAGATTTAACTTGAGTGAGTATGACTCACCCAGCCTGTATGCTGCGTTACAGAGTGTGTGCGGCGGTGCTGAAGCAGCTGGACGACAAGTCGAACGACGTGCAGTCTATCGCAGTTAAGTGTCTGGGCATTTTGGTCACTAAAGTGCAGGTGGCCCAGGTGGCAGACATCTGCGCCAAGCTCTGTGATCTCATTCTTAATGGCAAGCCGGAGCTCCGGGATATCTACTCGATCGGCCTCAAGACCATCGTGGCGGACGTATCCCAGACTACGGGAGCGCCCATCGCCACTGTCATTTGCACTCGGCTTATAACGGGTCTGAACAAGGATAAGGATGCCGCTGTGAAGGCCGAGACGTTGGACATCTTAACAGATCTACTGCGTCGCTTTGGCTACGACGTCGCCACGGAGCACGCGACGATCATGGAGCTGCTGATGATACAGCTCACGGACGAGTCGCCGCTAGTACGCAAGCGTGCGACTGCTTGTGTGGGATCGCTGGGTGTGATGGCGTCTGATGTTCTCGTGAGCCGCTTGGTGGAGCACCTGATCAATGGAATTCAAGGATCTGCCAACTCGTCGAACGTGCGCACGCTGATCCAGACCATTGGAATGCTCTCTCGAACGGCAGGGCACCGTCTTGGACAGCATTTGGACGCGGTGATCCGCATTCTGGTACAGTTCTGCGGGGACCCCGAAGATGAGTCACTGCAGAACGAAGACTCTGACGATTTGCGTGGAAACTGTTTTCAGGCGTTTGAAGCGTTCGTGATTCGATGTCACAACGAGATCACGCCTCATGTGGAGGTTATCCTGAAGCTCGTGATGCAATTTATTCACTACGACCCCAATTACAACTACGTGGACTCTGCTGATGAAGACGAAGACATGGATAATATAGAAGAGGAGTATAGTGATGAGGAGGGTGACTACAGTGACGACGACGACACCAGCTGGAAGGTTCGTCGAGCTACCCTTCGTGTTCTAACGGCAATTATCACGACGAGAACCGAACTTCTGGAGCAGCTCTACATTCACTGCGCCCAGCCTCTAATCTCGCGCTTTAAAGAGCGAGAAGAAAACGTTCGTATCGATGTATTTGGGGTATTTGCAGAACTTCTTCGTGCCACCCGCAAAACTCTCTCGAGCTCAAATGGAACTGGTTCATTCCATCCACCCACGGCGAACGCTTGTGTTACCCAGCTGGAGCAACGTCTGAATGCTATCGTAGTAGGAGCCAACAAGCAGTTTGGCATGAGAGCTTCTGTTCCGTCGCGTTGTGCAGTGGTAGCAATGCTGAGTGAACTTGCGATGGTGGAGCATGGAAAGCTGGGGGACTATATTGGTCGTTTGATGCCGAACATTCTCCATGCAGTGGATGACAAACACTCTGATTTGAAGCTGGACGCGCTTCTGTTCCTTCGATTGCTCGTGGATACGCATACAATGGAGCCGTTCCAACCGCATATTGAATCGGTCGTCAAGGTTGCCGTCCAATGTGCAAGGGGGGACTGGTACAAAACAGTGGCAAAAGCACTTGGACTGATTGAATCTCTTGTCCGAGCTATCCGAGCTATCCGATCTGAAGGTGGAGGTTCGACCTACAAACCATATGCGACTTCTTTTTTCGAGGCGGTGCTGCCTAATTTAAAGGTTCATGACATCGATCAAGAAATTAAGGAGGCCGCTATCAGCAGCATCGGCGAAATTGTTGCTGTGCTTGGTACGTATAAGAGAGTATAGTCGCCGAGAAGTTGTCGTGCTAACGCTAGCTGTATAGGTGATGAGCTCGGTGCACGCGTCGGAGAAGTCTACCCATTGCTCATGGAGCGTCTCAACAACGAAATCACACGGGTTCAAAGTATTAAGGCCATTGGGGCTGTTGCTTGCTCGAAGCTCAACTTGGATATGTCGCCCATTCTCGTGGAGTGCACCCAAACGCTAGCCCAGCTACTTCGTCAGCAGTCCCGCACATTGAAGCAAGCGACATTGGCCACTCTCAATGACCTGGTCGTCCACAAGGGTGTCAGCATGCCGGAAACGCTACACTGCGAAGTGCTGCTGGAAGCTTCCCTTCTACTTGTTGACGTCGACCTGCAATTGTGCCGCATGAGCATCACACTAGTGTCAAATTCGCTTCGAGTATGCCCACGTGTTGCTTCAACGGATGCTTTTTTGCAGAGTGCGCAAGGAAAGGCACTGGAATTGTGCCATAGCTCCATGCTTCAAGGTCCTACTCTAGATGCACTGAAGGGCCTTTTCGCGCAGCTGACGCAGTTAAACACACCTGGCTGCAGTTTTCCGGAGCTGTTCAAGGCGCTGATGGCAACGCCTACGGAAGAATCGAAGCACTCGGTGCTGAACATTGCTCGATGCGTTGCAGGAACTTGCGTGGCAACGACGGAAGAGAACCGTAAGCTGGCTTTCGCCAAGTTCGTCGGTGATATTACACAAACCGAGTCCGAAAAGAACAGAGTTTTGGCGCTCTATTGCTTGGGTGACTTTGGGCGCAAGATCAAGCTAGCTGGCTACACTGACGTGAAGGAACTCATTCTTAAGTGCTTCAAAAACGCGGGCGAAGAAGTTAAGGCGGCAGCTGCGTATTCACTTGGAAGTATTTGCGTCGGAAACATGGAAGAGTATTTGGACACCATCATGGTCAAGTTGGAGCTTGGAGAGAACTCGTACCTGCTCCTGACATCACTCCGCGAAGTCATCTCAGACCATGCTGCGAAACCCCATCATGGTTTCGCAATGTATGTGGACCGTGTCCTTCCTGTACTCCAGAAGATGAGTGCTCGTCAGGAAGAGGGTGTGCGGAATATGGTGGGCGAATGCATAGGAAAGCTCGCTGTGACGAACAGCGCGAAGATTATGCCTATTGTGACGGACCTGTGTGGATCATCGGACGTCTGGTCGCGTTGGACTGCGGTGACGAGTCTCAAGTACGCGTTGACAACCACGGCTCAGGATCCTGCAGTCAACGCGATCTTTGCTCACATCGACCCCTTCTTGGCGGCGCTTGAAGACGAAGATTTACACGTGCGTCGTGCTGCTCTGCTGGTGCTCAACACTGCTGCTCACCACCATGCTCACTATCTCATGCCATACGTTCGAGAACGCATCTTCCCCGTACTCTTGAAGGCGACTGAAATCAAGTTGGAGCGTGTGGTGGATCTCGGTCCGTTCAAACACAAGGTGGATGACGGTCTCCCTCTTCGTAAGGCTGCATATTCGTGTGTGGAAACGTTGGTCCAGGTGCTGCCACAGCAGCTCGATATCAGCCTATTCTTCGATCCGCTGAAACGAGGTTTGGGAGACCAGGACGACATCCAAATGCTCAGCCACCAGATTTTGATAAAGATCTGCTACGTGCAGCCTGGCAGTATTGTCGGTGCTCTAGATTCGTTGATGGAGCCGTTAGAGAAGACTGTCAACAGGAAGGTGAAAGAAGACCAGGTTGGTCCCGAGGTCGAGCGCATCAAAGACCTCATTCGCAGCGCGTTGCGTGCGCTCGATGCAATTAGTGCTGTGCGTGACGCAGACTCGTACCCAAAGTTGAATGCTGTGATGGAGAATGTGAAGAAGAATAAGATGCTGGGCCCACTTCTGGAAGCTATTCGAAGTGAGCGTGTAAGCAATTGAGCTCTGCAAACGTCATGACAACAGACACGAGCTTGATGGAATAATGCGTGGATTTACAACAGTCGTAAACGCCGATGTCATTGCATTTTAACCATATCCGCTTACTACAGCTCTACTGACGTTTCGTTCCCAGCAAGCACAGTTTCAGGCGTGGGTTCTTTCTTTTCAAATGCGAGGCTTTGCCCAACTTCTAGTCTTTCACACTACACCTTTGCCAGGTCAAGATGGTGCTACTCCACTTCAAAGTGGTGAAGTAACTAAACCTTTTTAAAAATTATTCTCAATTTTTACATTAGAGTTTATGTCACTTCACAAATATGTCGAGTAAACGCACTCCGTACTTCAAAGTGGTTTATTCGCGGTTCAAAGCGGATCAACCCTCCTGAGCGTGTGCGCGAGCACTTCATTGCCATTCCTCGCTCTCTCTTATCAATCTTTTACCAAGCCCTCAACCAAGCCAAGCCTCTACCTACCCCAAGATGCCCAGAGCCCCGCACCTCGCATTTGCCAGAGCTCGTGTCCTCGACTGCCTCCGTGTCGGCGGTGACTGGACGCTTGTGGCCGCCCACAACGGAATCCCCGCCACCACATCACGTCGATTTGTGGAAGCAAACGGAAGCACACGTCGCTGAACGAGCCGACTTGGTACTTGTACGGCTGGCTCCGTACTCTTCAATATGTAACCCCATTCAAGGTACGCAGTATACTGTATTACAATATTTTTTTAAATGGCATACTAACCGACTTTTGAACTGGTGCTACAGGGTGTTTTAGTGCTTTTAAGGCCAAGATCAAGGCCGACCTTGCCTTGCCCCGTAAAGGGCTGGTTGTGGAGCATCCTCGCGGGACGGTTGCGGCTGCTCGGATGGAGAAACTGGAACGCGCGGCGAGACGCCGCATCGGATGTATCGACACGCACCTTGCTAACAGGTTGACACTGCATTGCCAGCATTCCGTTGCTGCCGCGGAGCGCATGGAAGACATGCAGTACGGCACCTAGCTGCAGCTCGGACCACTTTGCTCTGCGTTTTCGCACTTTGAATTTCCTTTTTAGTGCTACTTTTTCGTAATCAAATTTTTTTTTTTTTAAAAAAATCCGGTTTGAAGTAGAGTAGCACCATCTGGGCCTGGCAAAGGTGTAGTTTTCTTTCGTTTGAAGGTCTTGTTTCCTCCGTTGTGGTGTACTGTACTACCTCCGCTCGGAAAATAAATCACCTTTCCAAACATATTTCGCAGCGCTCCGCCTCGTTCTTTTTCATGATTATAATGTTTGCGGAGGGCTCATCGCCGTGTCCCTCACCACCTCGTGGGCGCTCATAGCGTTCCCACTTCCCTTTTCCTCCCTCTTTGGCGTTCCGTTGCCAAAGGGGCGGCTCACTTCGCGTTTACGCTCCTACGATTCTTCGGCGTGAAGATACCCTGCTTCTCCACCAAACTGTCGCGGTAATCCTCCTTAGGTCGGGGTCGTGTATCTAGCAGGCCGACGTAGGAACTTAGGTTTATCACGTAAATGTAAAGTTGTTGTTGTATTCTTGAGCTCTTCTCTTGTAAGAAGGAAAGTCACGACTGAGCTTCTACCTAAGGCTCCAAGCTGAGCCACTAGGCTCTTTACCTTTCTGTAAATGTGACGGGGTCACACAGCACCTTGCGCTAGAGGAAGTTAGCTTCCGAGAGTATACAAACTCTCAGTGAACGGCAGTTCGCAGGTCCCCTCTTTATTCAAAAGAGAGCGAAGTGACCTAATTAAGGTAGAATATAAACTGAGTATATTTATAGGTAGATAAAGCTTGGGCTTAATACAAACTATAAGTCACCTATAGAAATGCAATGTCGTTAACCAATAATTGGCTTTGAACGACCTTGGTACTTTGTACCAAATGTCCCGAAGTATGACGTATCACACTTCATGTAACCTGGGTACACTTAGGGCTACGTACCCCGCTACACCCCCCCCCTCTACTTAGGTTCGGTTTACCGACCAATCAGAATGAAGAGGTGTTCGTCACAAACTCTCATTCTCAAAGTCGAAAACCATCGACTTGGCCGCGCGAGCGCGGCGGAGGCTCACTTCACAGTTAGAGCCTCGAGCAGCAGTCTGTGCGCTCTTCTTCTAGGTCTCCACTTCGACCGTTTACCATGTCTCGTGGCACTGCAAAGAGCGGTGCAAAGACACGCTCCAAGGCTGCTGCCGGGAAGGCGCCAGCCAAGAGCACTAAGCCTCACGGCAAAGGCTCGGCACTTAAGGAGGCTACCCAGGTGGCCTCCGAGGCGATCAGCTCATCGGGCGACAAGGTTGTGGGCAAGCGAGCCAGCATGCGCCGCAGCCCGTCGCCCTCGGCCTCTCCAGACAATCGTCCGAGCCCTCGGTTCGTAGAACGTAAGTTCGACTCTGGCAGTGAGGACGAAGCCGAGTCCGAGAGCACGCACGATGCTCCTGCGGGCTCTGCGGAAGGGCACAGCCCAGTGCCCAGTGAGCACAAGGACGACAGCGTGCAGTCGCTCGCAAGTGATCAAGGTGATCACAGTCCCAGGACGTCTGTGCGCTCTGAGCGTCCGGCCGTCAAGGCTAAGGGCACTCCCAAAGCTGGTGGCGATGAGGAAGAGAATCCTCGCAAACGTCTCTCGCTTGCCGAGGGTCTTGCGCGTGCTAAGGCCTCTAAAGAAGAAGGCGCCAAGCCCTCAAAGAAGCGTACAGCCTCTAAGTCTCCACTCCGCGAGGAGAAGGAGACTCGACACTCCCATCGGGGCATCTTCGACTCCTCGGATGAAGAGGAGGAGAAGGAGGAAGAAGAGGAGGAGGAGGGTGCTATCCCTGAGCCCCGGGAGGTCACGAATGACCTCGACCAGCAGCAGGAGGATTTCCAAGCTGCCCAGCGTGTGCGCGGGGGTTCGGTGGTGGCACCCGTCAGCCAGGGAGCTGCCATCAACTAAAGAGGGTATTGGCCTCCCTAGGAGAGCTCTGGGGCTGACCTCTTCTTAGAGCTTCTCGTCGCTCCTCGTGGCCTTGTGGGCGGCCACACTTCAAGGGACATTTACGAACGTGCCCTTGCTCAGAAGGAACAGTTGTTCGTTGACAACTTGGAGGCTGCTCGGTGTGTGCTTCTCGCGCCACACCACATCCCCCTTAAGGACTTCACGACCTGTCGTACGAAGCCCGAGACACGGGGTGGTCTTTATCCTTTTTGGGGATACCCCTGGGTTATGCCCGAGAACTGTCCCACCTGGAGGTCTTGTGAGGACATGTTCTGGGCATGGGTGGAGTCTCTTAAGTACTCACCCACGGAGTTAAGGGAACTCCATGAAGATCAGCTGCTGTCCAGCATCCTGGACCAGCGTGATCTTCGTGCTCGGTTTGCCCACTTGGTCAGCAAGCGCATGCTGCCAAGGGACATCCTGAAGCGTGCGGCTTCCAGCGCTCACGATGAGCGCGGATACGGAGTGTCGTCAACATCCGTACCCCGTTCGGGCAAGAAGACCCAGACTACATATGAAGCTGCCGCCGCTTCTGTTCCCAGCTTGCGACAGCCTTTGGACAGTCAATTAGGAGCCGTTCAATCGGCTCCCACGGGTTCTCGGAGTGGGCATAGCCCCTCCACTTCACGAGGAGCTGTCGCTTACCGCGACGCCGTTGCCCCTGGAGAATCCGCTCCACGTGGTAGTGGACTTCTCCGTTCCAGTCAAGCAGGGGCAGAGGTGCCTTCGTACGAGTACGAGTACGCGGCGCCTCCTGAACGCCATTCTCGACCGATTGCTTCTACTGCGGGTCCGACACAGGGCCCTGAGGTTGACCGCCTCCGTCAATGTGTCCTCGTGCTTGAGATTGCACTTGGCCTTGGGACTGGCGGTGATGCTGCCGCCCAGGCCGGGAATCAGGGCGAGCTCGCTCGTCTTGCGGGCCGCCTGGACCTGTTGGAGCGAGAGGTCGCAAGCCTGCATCTGCGGGTGGATCGCCGGACCTCTTCGTCCGATCTGGACGAGGCCTTTCGCATGATCCGACGGATCGAGGCTCTGCTGCCACGTCAGGAGCCGCCTGCGGCACACTCCCAGACGTACGCGTATGGTGCGTACCCGGCGTACTCAGCGTACTCGGCGTATGGCTCCGGGGTCCGTTTGTACGGAGCCCCTCCAGCGTACGGTCTTGACCGCAGCTTTGCCGTCTCGACCGAGGCTTGGGCGCCTGCTCCGACGCCTTTGTCGACGTCTGTGGCCCGCCCTCGCTTTGAGGTGCTAGGCCAAGGTGGGTCTGCGAGGCAGCAACCCCCTGCCGATCAAAGTACCCCTTAAGACGTCCAACATAGAACGTCGGGTGCGTCGTCATTGACTTTGGCAGGTCGATGGTGTACGACGCACCATGTCTGGCCAGGACTGCAAATGGTCCGATGAAGCGGTGCTTCAGCTTGTTGCTACCGACAGAGCTGACAGTGTGAAGAGGTAGGTTCCTCGTGTCTAGTAACACTTAGTCCCTACACTTTGTTTCCTCTTCCATGTTTGTCGGAGTACTCCTTTTGTTTATCTTGGGCCGCTGCCATGGCATCACGGACCCTGCTGACAACGCACGCTCAGCTTGGTATCCATAAAGGATTCCACTTGTTTCCGCAGCGAAACTGGTCTCACATCCGATACCTGGGAGGAAAGGGCTTTTCGAGCCTCTCCCCCACTTAGAATAGAGGAGTCAGTGTCTCCTCGAAGAGTGAGAGGCACTCTGGGGTGACGGAAGCCGTTCAAGTAGAACGGCGTGAGCCCCGTGGACGCGTACACCGCGTTGTTGAGCGCAAACTCAACAACTGGAAGCTGCGTCGACCACGTACGTGGTGCTGCCGCGCACACACTGTGCAGAGTGTCCTCGAGCACTCGATTGACGCGCTCTGTCTGGCCGTCTATCTGTGAATGATCTACAGTGGACATCTGCAGACGAGTTCCCAGTAAATGAAACAGCGTTTTTCAAAACGCAGCATTGAACCGCGGGTCTCGGTCCTAGACAATCGTCTCCGGGAGACCGT